GTTCCAATGTCAAGAAGAAAAAAAACGTCCATATCAACTTGCATGTTGACAACTTATCCACACAGAACCCCAAATTGATCATTTCTAAAACAAAACTTGACATTTGCAACTATGATGTTTTTGTAAAATTCTACCCAGGGGGGGAATCAAAACCTATTTTTCTAAACATTTCTCCTCACCTTGTTTTAAAAAACCGTAAGAAACATCAGTAACAAGATACTTTGCAGGAATTCCCTGAACAACTGGCACAGTTACAAGTTGCTATTGCTTTTATTTCACATAACGCCACCTGTCATTGTAAACACATCAGCTATACACAACAAGAGAGAGCATTGTAGCAGCAGGTGTATTTAGTTACGTTGAGTCCAACAGTCAGAGGAGAAAAAGAAAATGAAAACCCAGCAATATTCTTAAATGCAAACAACTAAAATGTTTACCACCTGACTCAGCATCTCAGACAATAATAGCAAAACTAGTCATAAAAATCCAAAGATCCTGCCACATCTGCTACACAGATGTTTCAGTAATGTCCTTTCGCTGTAAATTTAATGGGAATTACATGGAGGAAAGAATGGACCCCCTAGTGAGGACATTTGTGATGCAGTGCTTAATGTACCACATATACTTCTACACTAGAGTTGAAGTTAGCCATATCAGTGATGGCTCAAAATGTTAGTACAAAATCCAGTGTAAAACTGGCTCCCTGTTTAGGCCTGTTTTAAAGATCAGAGTTACAAATAAATTGATACTGAAACAATATCTATGCACCCATAATACCTAGTATCAGCTATCTTAAAGACTTGCAGAAATTTGGGCTTCCCAGAAAGTAGCAGCTATTTTGTTTTTTAAAAAGCTTCCAGATTTAGAGAACTGTATACCGTACTACTCAGTTTCTATTTTATAATCTAACTGGCAAATATTCTAAGGACCTGAAGTAGTTCCCCCAACCCAGTGGTCTCATTGATGGAAAGAAATAGCTAAATGATGAATTGGTACCTACAAAGGAACAAAGGTGAAAATAAAGTTTTTATCAAGTAAGGTACAAAAAATATTTCCAAAGGTTCACAGGGATCAACTTGTTAGATATTCAATATCATACAAAAGCAGGCTGTGATATGTTTTTCATTAGTTATAGCCAGATAGCTAAAGTATGCTGCCTGTCCGTTTTACATAAACTTAAAAAATCATTAATCTGGTAAGGACCATTAAGCATTAAAAAAAAAATATTTTTTTTTAAATGAAAAAATGGGTAGCTACTATGGTATAAAGTGAATAGCTCTTCATTTGCCAAATAGAACCAAATTACTTGTACTTAAATGTAGCGGACTGAATACAAAACAACTGCACCAATAGGCCCAATACAACTACTAAGCTTGCAAGTACACAGTATTTTGTGTGTACTAGTATTTTAGGTTTTGCCGTTCTAGAATGTAAACCCTTCACTGGACTTAAATGTAATAGGGGCCTAACTTTCCAGAAATAATGAGAGACCTGAGATGCATCTCTCATTAGTTCAATAGTATGCGCATGCACATACAGCACCTAATATTTTCAGCACTGCTATAAATAATGGTACACATCTTTTTGAACTGACAAGTAGCTAGATGTAGAGCCATGAAATGACACCTTGCCTCTCCATTTCCCTCAACTTCAATCCCACTATGATTCTTGGCAGTGGCTATATGAAAATTGCAATAGCAATGAAACCAATGCTTGTACTTCCGGCTTAAAGCGGCATCAACTACTTCCAATGAGTTGCATCTTTTAAAACATAATTAGTTAAAATAGTTCAACTCTTCATGTAGACAACTGTACCAGTACTAAGGTACTGTTATGGCTTATTCAATACACTTACAAGAAATTTAACTGCTGCTGTAACTATATTCTAACATGAAGCTGTACTGCTTTAACTATACCAATATAATACAAACCTGTACATTTTTTTTTACCAAAATCAGGAAGTGGTATTTTTTAAATTAAAAAAAAATAATAATAACAATTATTTATTTTTAAAGGGAATTCAGAAACAGACCACTTGGTAGTGTACGTTATGGTTACTATAGTAATTAATGTCATCCCTATTCAAAATAAGTAACTGCAGCATTACATTTGTGAATCCTTGAACATTTAAAAGAAACATTCAGTTAAGATTAATATTCTCTTTGAAGTCATGCAGTCACTTAATGACATCTGAATGTTCATCTTGCAAACAGCCGTAACTTTGAACCTCCTCAGTACATTCATAATTATATAATCAAAGAATTTATGCAAAGTATTTCTCTTAATTAGTGACTTATGTTCTTAAGTTTTTAACTAAACGTGACAAAACCTTCTATTTTATACCATATTTGTAAGTGTATGCATCTCAGTAGATTAAATATTTTATTTTGTGCTTGCTCTGATACACTTCAAGTATATTAGTTCTAAGCAGTATATTAACTACTACAGAGCAAGATAATATTCATACTTAGGGGAAATTTAGGGTATGTTGGTAGTTCAACTGAAGGTGTGGTTATAGCTGTCATCAGTTGTTATCAGTGCTATCACTGTTATTGTCCTCAACAGGTGTTACTGATGTATTGTTAGTGCTGAAGTCTCAGGAACCATGGTGCCAGCAAAAGTCACAGCCAGGAGATCTCAGCACCAATCTTATACAACAACCACAGGCTCAGTTGGTCAAGATCCAGCCAGGTTTATGGTCTACAAGCACAACCCTAACATGTTGGGGCCTAACATGTACAGCAGACCAGCAGTTAAGACATTTGTACCTGTGACAAGGTAGTCAGTATAACACCATGGAGGCTCCACTAGGTTGTTTCAAAGTTTCCATCCTTTCCAACCCTCCTTTTATACAATGATCAAAACAAATTATACAATGCATTCCACCTGCATCTTGAATGTCTCAAACCTTCCTGTACCATGGGCTTGTTTCACATCCTGATGCGGGTGTTTCTGGACTATCCTATACCTTGTACCTCCATCTCTCCCTCCCATCTTCTGTAAGGAAAGCACATTTGGCCCATATGCCAAGTTTTATGTGACGGGTTCATGCTTTGGTCATTTTTGCTGGTCAGGCCTACTCTGGTCAATGCTTTAGCAAACACTTTATGTCAGTAGTATATATATATCAGGGGTGGGCAAAATATGTTCCGCGGGCCATATTCAACCTACCAATGGATTCTATCTGGCCCATAGATAAGTTTTGGGTAGACCTGTATTACGTTCATTAGCATGTTATTAAGTACTGTTATTTTGATTAAATGTGGAAATGCCATCGAGGGAGGCCTGCACTTGTCCATTGCATGGTAGTAGGGCCCAATGTTTTGCCTCTTCCCTTGCCCACAGGAGGGCAGCAGTGCTCTGAGTGTGGTCTGCAACAGCTGCATGCAGCAGCAAGAACAGCACCATGCACCCTGTGGCCTTTTGTGCATAAACAAAGCTGACAAAGAAACCTGGACATAACCCAGGAAAAACAGCAGCAATCCCTCTGCAAGCAGCTCCTGTCCACTCCCTCCCCAAGCTCCCAGGGACATGGTTGAGCAGCCAGCAGACACAGACCACTCCTCTGCAGAGCCAGTGCAAATGGGACACTGCTCTGCAACACCTGCCCTTGGCGCTTTTGCTCTCCCTGCACCCATGCAGATTTATTCTGAGAGCTCACAGCAGCTGCTATGCACTCTAGGCACCACCTGGCCTTGCTCCACAGCATGGCCTGCACCAGATCAGCGGGGGTCACGGGCAGGACCTGGCACCAGGCGCTGCCACAGAACAGGGGAGAAGGGGTTGTGTGGACACTGTGGCAACATGGTTAACTTGGGAACGTGGTGACTTGGGAACTGTTTTGTGGAAAATATATTTGGAAAATTGTGTGGTAATGTGGGATTTTCTGGAATTGTGTGGAAAGCTGTTTATGGCATTTATAGTAGAAAGTTTATATTACACTTAAAATTTGGTATGCATTTATGCTATAAACTTTCTACTATAAATACCATAGTAAGTTGTTAAACACCATTACTATAATATACTATAGTAATGGTGTTTAACATATACCGTTATCTACTACTACCGTTATCTACTATAGTAAGTTGTTAAACACCATTAACTTCGTGTGTATGGCTCTCAACAGCTTGCCAAAACTTATTAAGTGGCCCTCCAGTCCAAATAATCACCCACACCTGACATATATGTATCAATGCATGCTCCAGTGAGGCCTACAGTAGCACAGGTAGCATAACAATGATAGATACATTAGATAGTATAGTAGAGTAGCTAAGACAAAGAGGCAGATACACCTCACCACCAATTCAAATATATATATCAAGTCTACCCTGTATTTTTGTATAGTGTATACTGCAGAGTCCCCAAGACTTCTCTGCTATTGTTACCAATGCTAACTGAAGGAACTTTAGGGTTGATATCCCTACCTGTGCTACAACACACCTTCAACTGCAATGTAAACATATGCTTAAGTTAATATATTTAGGCAATTCTCAGGGATTTAGTTTGAAGCCATTAAAAACATTTATAAGGGTTTTTAAAGCATCTTTTAATTTAGCATTCAACACCTAGTGAAGAAAAGGAATCCTCCAAATAGAATTCTTCAACAAAACAGTTACCAACATACTATAAAAAATACAGCCATTCTGGCTTGGAAGTTTTTTTCCAGCGTTTAAACAAACTAGCTTAGAACATAAGGCAACAGCCATTTTAATGCATTGTGTATAAGGATACCTAAAAACTAATTATAAAAGATACATTAAAGCTTGCTTGCATTACCCTGAACTTTCACTCAAACAGACAGAGCTAATTAAAATATTTATGGAATGACTTGGTCATTTTACTTTATTTGCCTTTTTAAGTTTCCTTAGAAATCTCAAGCTCCTGACTTAATAAACTGATCAGCAAGCCCACCAAGTTAAAAGGGAAGATCAAAGATCTTTTACAATAGATCTTCAAACATCTA